TCTTGGAATAATTTCTTGGAACTTCCATACAGGAAAATTAGTAATATATTTTTAGGTTTTCCTTATTGCTATTGAATTGGAAACTGTGCTTTTTTTTCATAACTTTCTAAAGATATCATCTCATAGATATAAAACTTTATTCATATGCTTTTAGAGAAAGAACTGTTTTTTTTTTTTTTTTTTACACCTATAAATGTAAATGAAATTTAGGTTCTTTACAAGTGTAGAAAATGTAAAAAAAAATAGAACTTTTTTTCTTAAGGTGAAATATATGATTTAAGCTGAGGGGGGGGAAACAGCTCTTTGGAGACGGACTCCAGCCGTAGTTAAAAGTAGCGTTGTACCAATCAGGATACTATGGTTGATTTCTGATATTCTGTTTACTAAGAGCTTTAAAGTACAGATCCCAGTTCCTTTTAAAATTTCTAATATCAGAATATATATTGACGTTCGTGACCTAAGAGGTAATTAAACTTTTTGTTCTAACTATTAAAAGAAATATTCTGTAACTGTTGACTCAAGCATCAGCTCTATTTGAGATATATTAAATGATTCAGATAAATATAGGAGCGCTTGGGGCTTTTTGTTTCTGCCATTGACAAAAACTCACCTATGTAACTCGAAAGGGTTGGATCCTTCTCTAAATGAGTCATGTAACCTAAAGCAGTGGTGTCCGTCTGAGCTCCCCAAATAACCCTAAAAAGTTGCTTTTAGGTGATCTGATCATACATATTTTTTGGTTCTCAGACTTAGGATTTAATCTAGAGGTTACTGTGTATGTTTTGTCTTTATATGTAATTCCGTGACTTCTCGATCTGCTAGTCTGCTATCAGAAACACAGAGGGAGACGGCTTCTTTTTAGGACAGTGCTTTGTTACAACTTCATCTGGACGTTGCAGGTCTAGCATCCCTGGTGGCTGAAGTTACACCGTGCCATTCAAATTAAAAGGGAAAACAATCAAAACGGTGTTAACCATAATTAGCACAGTAATGCAGAAAGCATTAATTACCTTTTTAATTACCGATTGGAATATGATTGGATTTTTTGGGTTTGGATATGTAACTGGGCCCTAATGAAATTGATCAGTTTCCGATTAACAGCCATATTTCTCAGTGAACCTTAAGTGATACGAACATGATGAAGTCTTAATGAATGGCAGCACTTTACACTAGTGTCTGAAGCTGCACTGATTTGTCTTTGGGTGATGTGATAAAAAAAGCAACATTGCAACTTTGTGCTCTTCTAAAATCACACTAGCACCAAGCGCATATTTCAGCGGTTAACTGGTGAAAATAAGCAATGAAAAAGCCAGTATTTATTCGTAAATGTATTCCTAAAAATAGCACAATAAAAAGCTTCAGCTTTCTATCCACTTATGACCAGCAGGACATAAAACCCTAAGAAGGAGCTGCAGAAGCTGCAGTAACCCTTTACTAAACTTACATAAGACCCCCAGCACTCAAGGTCAGCACAAGGTAACTCTATGAGTATCAGTGACAAGCGGTTTGCTATAAAACACCAAGGCCGGTGTAGAATTTCACCTCAATAACTTGTTCTTAACGTATAAAAGGGGGCGTTCCTGATGCTCGTTTAAGCAATTGTGCAGCCAGGCGTGGCAAAGCTTTCTGTATTTGCTGCGGCTGAGCCGATGGTGCAGCAGCAGCATGTCTGAGGAAGGTAGAGAGAGAGAGGCAGTGTTTGCATGATGCGACAAAGGCCACTAAACACGGGGTTTAACTTAACAGCAATTATCAGGCTGTATTGGTGTTTCAATGGATCTTTGATATTTTCGAATAGATAAAAAAAAAAAAAAAATGTGTCTTTGCTTGCTGCCTGTTGCATTTTTTCATGTGATAACAGAAAGGTAGCTGTGGAACATAGGTTGTTTGCCTCATTGCTAATAGATTTCTGTGTGATAAATTCTTGGATTTTTCACATGGTTATAAACAGGTTTAAAACTGGTTACCATCGACAACAGGAACTTTTCATTTATTCTGGACATTTTATAACTCCTGATAAACAGCAAACAGCTTCAATGATATTTAGAAACAAGAATCCGGTTTCAGGGTTTGAATTTATTGTAGATGTTCTGTCAATTCAGTCAATTCAGTTTATTTCTATAGCGCCAATTCACAACACACGTCATCTCAAGGCTCTTTACAGTTCACCAGATCATAAAATCAAATTGATTCAAAGTTTTCTATCTAAGGAAAACCAGTCGATTGCATCGACTCTTTCACTCAAAGGCAATCCCTCACACTAAGCATGCTTGTAGCAACAGTGGAGAGGAAAAACTCCATTTAACAGGAAGAAACCTCCAGCAGAACCAGGCTCAGTGTGAGCGGCCATCTGCTGAGGCTGACTGGGGTTCAAGGAGACAGAAGCAGAGATACAGAAAATACTCAGAGCTGAAATTAATGCATTTCATACTCACTACTGATGTTTTCATTTTATGTTATGTTTTTACTATACTGACACCAATCCTTGTAGAATTGTGTGCAGTTTCAAAACAACATGTGTAAAATAAAACATACAAAATACCTGTCAGGATTTAAAATACATAAAAGCTGTATATTATAATGGGATCTGCTTTTACTATAGAAAAATTATTAGCAGTGCTATATATGCTAATGCCCCAAACCATACTGTCCCTATTGTAAACAGGAAGCTAACTTTGAAGGTAATAGTGACCCAAACTCTGTAAGAGGGGTAAAGACGTTTGGTTCAGAGGCAGATTGCTAACTTAAAATTGCTGCCTTGCCTTGCTTTATACATGCTTTCTAAGTAACCATAAAAGTTGGGTCTTGTCTCCACTGTCGCTGTATGTTGCCTTATGATGTCATAGATGTATTCTTTGTGATTTATGTAGCTGAACTAAATCACTGAAGATTCTTTCAGACATCTCACCTTTTCACGCTCTCTACAGCTCACTTTCTTGGAGCACAAGTGAGGGGAGGTGGGCATAAGTGACAGCAGTAACAAAATTAGCAATAGTTATGTTTTGCTCGGATTTGATATTTCAAATAAAAATAATCAGATATCATCAAAAAGTGGTCTTGAGACTAAAAGCGGTCAGTACTATCGCAATGCTGGCTTGATGTTTGATCACTCTCTTTATTGAAATTTTGGGCTTTCTTCATACAAAATGTGCCACTCGATGACAAAACACTAGCCTGTGTGAAGGAGGTTTTCAGATCAAATATGACTTTATTAAACATGGTGGTGGCAGCATCATGCCTTCCACTAATGCTGAAATATTAAATAAAGTAGGTGGAATAATGAGGGGAATTTTTTTTAACCAAATTGTTTATTTTCTAATAAAATCAACAGGTAGAATGCTGTCCAACATAACAATGATCAGAAACACGTAAAAGCACATTTTGAAATTAAAAAACAACAACAAAAAAAAAACAGGCAGGTATCAAGCTATAAAAAGGCCTGTTTCAGAAAGATATAAAATGGTAAAAATCGAGGCTTCAAACTAGGATCGCTCTGAGAAAACCAACTCTTTTATTAAGGACTAGTTCTGATGACTCTTTTTTTTACTGATTGTGTTTTGTTTTTTTCTAACTTTCTGCTTTAATACCAGTGAGATGTGAGACAGTGCTGTGTGTGTCTGTGTCCAGCCAGTGTGCTGCAAGCCATGGCCGTGCTGGTCTGCGCTGAGATGTACCAGGTGAAACGGCTGCAGCATCTGTGTGAGGTGTGCGTGTGTGCATACCTGCAGAGCATGCCCAGCAGAGAGCTGTCATCGACTGGGATCAGCGTGGTTCGACTTCTACGTAGAGCAAAGGTCAGTGCTGCCAAACAGCTTAAGCAGGGTTTAAAGGAAGCTAAATAGAGAAATTAGCATAAAATGTAAATGCTTTGTTGATTTTCTTTGATTCTTAGTGTCACAACGCTGAGCAGCTGTATATCTGGCTCCTCCACTTTATCGCCAACAACTACCTGATCTTTAGTCATAAACCTGACTTCCTGGAGCTCTCAGGTCAGTGGGATGTTTTTAAACTAATAGTTTTGACCAGAAAAGACCAGCCAGGCATGTCCTCGGCAAAATGCACAAGGTTTCAAAGTTGAATCAATTATTTATATCCTTCCTCAATTGTAGAAACCCTGGAAGAGATGCTTCCGTTGGGAATGTCAGAGTTAAAGTCACCCAACGTAAAATACTGTACTGTAATTTAGGCGATATATTTAAAAAAGAAATTTAATCACCTGAAATAAAAACCATCAGTTCTTAACTTCTGCTTTAATAAATATCAAAGTATCTTCTTAAAGCTTTAGAATCCATTTTCAAGAATTAAATATTTCTTTAGAACAAACAAAGTTCCTAGTAACTGTAGATTAATATATATCCTTAAATTAATTGAGTTAATTGTAACAAATTAAGAGAAATTTTGCTGAATTTTAAGACCAGCATCCCTTTTTTATTATAGATGTCAAATCTTATTTATGTAACTGAATACCAATATTTGTTTTAACATTTAGCATTTATGTATTCAGTTATGTTTATATCTGAGAGATAATTTCTCACATTAAACATCAATTTGATTTCAACATAGTTTTGGTATTCTATGTCAAATTAAATAATTTCCATTTACTGCAGGATTAGCAATTGCTTATTTCAAAAGTCTTTATAGGATACATTTTGAAATAAAGGTGTGACTCCTTTTAGATGCCAAAAAGAAAAGAAACACACCCTACCTGGGCAGGACGCACCTTTACCACAGGGAAAATTGAGTGTCCAGTTGTGATCGAACCATTTCATGTTTTGTGGAACATATAAAAAAAACCAACCAGCTAAAGTATTTGTTTTCCAAAAACGAACAAAAAATAAAACCTCAAATCCGAAGGAAGATGTGAAGGAACCAAAAATAAAGCCAACACCACAAGAACTTCCACGTATAGTTCGTCTGATTGGCTGCTTTTGGTCCTTTCTTTAAAGGAACATTACAAATTTACCTAGCAACAGCAAAGCACATAAAGAAAAACACAGACATTGCAAAGCAGAAGCTGTTTTATTGTGTTCATTCAGTCACACAGGACTCATTCATGCTACTGGACGGGTACACTCTCATCCTGGTTTGTTAGTGGAAAAAAATTCTTAGAGATTTCATGGTTTTTGGCTTTCATCATGGTAGCAAACTAAGCAGTAAGTAACACTAATGTATCTTGAGAGTGTGTGTAAACATCTCTAATGGTCCTCAGGATGTGGTCGTGTTTTTTTTGTTCAGAGCAGGCAAACAATTATTTTCCCTTTTTTCCCCCCTAAATCTTTGTTTCCTCCAGAGGAGGAGCGTGAGCAGGTGGAGAGGCTACGCTGGCCATCCAGGGGATACTTGCAGGAGCTCAGCGAGTATCAGCAGCGACGACGCAAACTTCGGAAGTCCCGCTGCCTAGTCATGTGACCACATCTGGAGGCCTCCTCCCTGCAGAGATGGAGAAAGGAGTGGGATGGAGAAAAGGAAACAAGGGAGGGAACCACACAAGGAAGAAGGTTTTTTAGGGAAACAATGGTTTGACTTTAATTCTGGAGAAGAAGACTTCAGAGACTAATACAAAAAAAAACAACTTTGGAGCAGCTGATCAACTGGGAGGAAGGTCTCCAATTCCTCCTCCCTGCCTATAGACTACTGCAACACAGGCAATACAGAACAACTGAACCTTAAAAACTAATGATTTAAAAAACGACCGTCTGACCTCTGCTTGGAGGCTCTGTGATAGATTATATTTTCTACTGACAGGTCTGGCAATACTTTGGGCTTCAAAGAGAACATGGAGGATGGTGTGAAATATCCAAGCATCGATTGGAAAAACAAACCAGCATCATGTGATTGAAGCTCGACTCTTATGGGAATTCAGGTTGGGGGAGGGGAAAAAAAAAACAAACAAAAAAAACATCAGGAAGTGGCTGATCTGTTTGCTAAATCTGGTCGGTATGGAAACGGGCCAAATGTAACATTATCAGGACCATAATAATCGGTGGTAAACATCGCCTTGAAAAAGTGTTAAACTTTTTACATTTTGTCGCATTTAGACCACAAACCCTACATTTATTTTAATGGTATTTTATGTTACTGATAAGGAAAACTGTGGGCAGAGGCGTAGAGAGGAAGAAAGTAGAGAAAGAAATTGTTTTTTTAAATTCAGTTTCCTACCTTTTGTTCTCCAACAAGCTCAAGCTTGACCGAAGCAGACAAAAAGAATTAGTTTTAGTTATAATAGTTTTAATTTCCTACCACTGCTTTACTATCAAGTTTGGACATTATAGTTTGACTTTATTCTCTTCCCGTCAACAGATTCTCCTACCTGAGCAGCTTCTCTAAATCAAGCTCTCTTTGGTTTAGGTTGTCAGCCATGTCTTAGTTAGTCTGCAGCTTTGCTATATAAAAAGCTCAGCAGGACAGCTTGCCATATTGTTTTAAACATCTCCAAAACATTCTCCCTGCCCCGTCTGGTGTGTTCCTTTGTCTTTCTGATCTCGTTTCATCACAGATGTTCTTTTCCTTGGCTTTCTGCAGGGGAAAGTTAATAATTGGTCTCTTTGGGTGTTTTTTTTCCTTTCTAATTATGCCTGATTTTGTTTTCTATCACATAAAATCCAAATAAAATATAAAGTTTGTGGTTATAAAGAGACAAAATGTGAAAGAACTGTTGCATCCCTGTCCTGATGGATTGGAATGATCACCATGTGAACATCCAGCATTTTTTTTAAAGCAAAAAAACACATCCGACGTCTCAATCAGCTCCTTAGAGAGAGCGACTGAGATAAGGACAGTGATCAGAGCTGAGGCCAATCAGAACGCAGCTTGTTGCAACCGCTCTTATTTTCTATCCATAAAATACAAGAAGATCGGTTTAACTTTTGATGCGGACCGATTTAACTGCAATTATGTCCAATATCATTGCCTTGTCTTTAATTGTCTGATTTTGAGATAACTTTCATCATCTTGTTAGATACAGTACATTTTGATCATAGCTTGCACTAAAAAAAAAAGAAATCCTTTAAACAGATATATAAAGGCGCTAATCCAATTACATGTGGTCTATGCACCAAATCTAGACATGAATTACTATATTTTCTACATTTTTATTCAAATCTGTTTAGCTTTAGTTTTATACAGTGTTTTGGTGCATTGAAAACAAGGGTTCTTATCTGGAGAATTTTGACTGGTGTAAAAACCTACATTAAGGGATTAAGAAGCAAACACCTTGATCATAAGTTAATACAGGAAAAACCTTGCTGCCTCTAGATTTATTTTATCCTCTTTATTTCATTATCTTTTCTCTTTAGATTGTTTTTAATCATAATAGGATTATGATTTATGGTGCTGCAATAATTTTGTAAACTATACAATGTTTTTTTTTAAAGTTAGGTAGAGACAATGTGGATACACCAATTTACAGTCTGACTTTTCACTGCTATTTACAAATGTGCTGCAAGAAGTGAAGTATGTCAAACAAGAAACAGAGACTTTTTAAAGCTTTTTATTTTTGCCATTGATTAAAATCGATGTAAAATAATTATTCAAATCATCTGTGGCATAGTTGGAATCCAGTTCTAGCGAGTAGTTGTGCAGAAATGTAGCTGAAATCTGTGTATTACTGTCAGTCCAGATGCTAATGGTGGGGGGATTTGGCTGTGAATGGGGGCTTTAGGGTGGGCACCCATTACACCTAAAGGTGTTCTGCAGCCAAACTCAGAATCTGAAAAGAAATCCTCATGGAAATCTGAATTTGTTAGTAAATAGCAGGTAAAATTATGGACTGTGAAACCAAGAGGAAACCAATGGGCTCACCAGTCTCTGCTGGGCCTGAGCTGGGCAGACTGTAGATAACATAGTATCTGACTTTAAATAAAGATTTGTTATAGAATGAACAAATGGCTGCTTTTTTGGACCAAAGTTAGATTCTGTTTTCTTGGATTAATCCTCCCGCGTTCCTGTAGCAGCTGCTGAAAACAGACCATTGTTTACTTGTTTCCCTTTTATGCAAAGTGTCACGGCTTACACTGTGCTTAAAGGTAAAAAGTCTAGTTTATATCGACATCGTTTACCACAAATAAACCAAAGAATACTGCTTTGCAGTACATTTGCAACAGTTTGCATTAAATCTGATAAAAACAGAGTAATTATTGATTTAATTTGTTTAATATTTTATATTTTAACAGGTTAAATCCTCTTCAGCACATACACCATCTGTTGCATTTTTTTTTTTTAAACATCCCTCTGCTACTTCAAATTATAGCACCCAGTTTATGTTGTGTTTTAACCATAAACACACAACTTGATGGGAAGTTTGCAAGTCTTACGTAAATGAGGAAGTAATGGGGCTGTGGAAGTTATGACAAGAAAGGGCAAAATTTCAAGATCGAATGAGAAAAGGTGGAAAACATACTGAATGCGAAGAGAGGAATACAATATGAACATCGGCGTTCACTAAAGCAAGAGCTAAAGCTGCCAAAGTGATGGATAACATGAAAAAAAAAAAAAAAAACATGAAATGGGACTGAGTATTAGATTTTGACCAAAAAAAGCTTAATGTGAAGGCAGATGAAAGATGCTATAAGTTCAGAGTTGTTTACCTTGAAAGTCTGGAGCAGATCACTGAAGGGCCCCTATGGACTCCAGCATCCCTTTCAGCTTTCCACTTTGGTGCAGCGCCTGCACATCACTTCCACCTCCCACACACTCCTCCCCGATGAAAACCCGTGGGACCTGAAGTTTGGATCCGCATGTGAAAAACAAGGAGTGGAGAATATGAAGCCACATTTAACTTCACTGTTGCATGCATTTCATAAAAGAAGTCCAGGAAATACATTCATTATCTCCTCCAGGAGCATATCAAACTAAAACTGCACATATTACAAACATTGTTGGAACTGTTACTTCATTGCCTTTTAGCTCAGCTGATTAAAAATGGTTATCCACAACATTTATTTCATTTAGGGTATTAATCTACCAATAGTCTTTAAAATAAAAAGGTATGAGGTAATCTCTTGAATACCTCTGTGACAAAGCTTTCAAAATGTCTTCAGAAATGCTGAGCCAAGCTGAACTGATGAAACTGAAACTTTTCATTATAGTATTTACAAGTATTACTGCAATTACATGATTTTAAATAGTATGAAGCCCTGCTTCCAACAAATTGATGAAGGCCAAAATTCCTTTTTACAGTGAAGGCTACAGCCTTTTTTTTTTTTTTTTTTTTTTTAAGGGAATCTGCAATAGGGAAGAAAAGTGAATTAGTGGGATTTGATACAAAAAGTTCCATGATTAAAAATATGTACAAATTTATGCTTAAAAACCTGGAATTCAAAGCAAACAAAGGGAGCCGCACCAAACGTTTGGAGTAAAGAAAATAATTAACTACAGATAAGAGGCTGTTTGGGGGAAACACCCGATAAGAAGGAGGTAATTAGTAAATAATCAAATGGAAATGTGTTGTTTTTTTGAACAGAATGACTAAGCGGGGGGGTTTACCGTCCGGGCTCCGGTGATTTCCAGGAAATAGTCCTGCAGGCTGTTCATGTCGTTGCGTCCACTGATATCAATACTCAACAGATGTCCAGGCTTGAACGGGTACTTGGACAAAATGTCCTCAGCCATGACGCAGTAGGGACACGATGGTTTCTGGAAGACCACCACTTTGTCCCCTTTGATCTGAGCCTTCACGAACTGCTGCGCCATCTTACCTCGCTCGTGTGAACTTCTCGGAGTGTGGATGGGCGTTCAATGACGTCACGGAGAGGCAAGACGATCTGCCTTCTGAGCATTTAAAAGATACAGCAATTTAAAGATACAG